CGGAAGTGACTTTATTTATAGCGCATGCGTATTAACACAGTAAAAGAGTTCCCTTCAGGGGAAATAACTCACCTTTTGAAAATGGGGAATAATTCAAAGTTATAATACAATATTATACAACAATGTTGTTTTGATATACAAACATCTGACACTAACATAGAGAGATTACACAGATAGAAATTATATGTAGGCCAACCTGATAAATATTCGTTACGTAATATTAGGGCATGTTGGATATATTTCGTTAAATCCACCAAAGTAGATATGCGGTTTGTACCTAATAATTGGATTAATTTCAATGTACTTGATGATTTGTAATAATATTCATTTATATATTTCTTTCTTAGATTTAGATATCTAGGGCATTGGAGAATGAAATGAAATTCATCTTCTATTTCATGAATATCACAAACATCGCATATTTTATCTTCTCTGTTCTTGCTTTGGTTCCTTCCGCATTCTATATGTTAAGATATTGCGACGAAAGTCTGATGCGGCAAATATGCTGTTTTAAATTACTTTGAAAAGGTTTTGATAAATAGGGTTGCATTTTACAGAAATCAGATTGGACAATGTGCTAATATTAAAAAAAAAAACATCTTGACGAATTATTCATAAATGCATTGCACTTTTGGAGTTGTATATCTAGGATTCAGTTTTAATATAATTTTTATGCATGAAATGAGCAAAGTTTAATTCTTGTTGATTCATCCAAAATTCTCCCAGACCCAACCTTAATAATTCAAGCTTAACGTCAGGTGCCCAGTTTCTACTTGTACTTGTTCCCGACCCATTCTCTGCATCATGTCGCAGGTATTCGTATGAAGATTTTAAAATGCAGTTTTCTGTTTTGTACAGTTTACACCAGAACTTCATGATTTTATGTTTTCTTTGTATAATAAGTGGATATCGCTAAAGTTCTCTATAAATCATATATAAGTGCATGCCTAACGCCAAGGATAATTTTACAAAAGGATAAATGCAGTCTTTCAATTTCTGGAGATTTACGAAAACCCCAGATTTCACAACCATACGATAAAACGCTGCCAACTTATGTATCAAAGAGCTGACAGCGGGTTTCGGCGTTGAATTCAAATTTCTGAATATTACGGTTTAAACCAAATAGAGCTTTCTGAACTTGTTCATCTAAATTATGATACTTTCACATATTTTCTTTTATTATTAATGCCATTGTACACCCCCTATTTTACTTTATGATCTGACGCTCATTTCGTGTTCTCCAGCGCAAAGCATGGCCTTTGCCAATATAACCATATGAGAGGCGGGGGTATCACTTAGTGAGCTCAGAGCTCAAAGTACCTCTAGTTTAAAACTTGTTTTTTTTCCACTCCCTTTATTCTGTTCTGTTTATATTTTTAGAGCGTTTAATATGAAAGTAAGAACATTTAATTTCATTTTTTGTATTGTTTTCTTCATACTGAAGCAAAATTTAAAAAATCAATTGAAGAGCAATATTCCTTTCTTTTATACATGTATATACTTCGCACATATACCCATAAAGTATCTAAACAAACCATAGTCAAATCTAGAGGTAATGCAAGCTACGAGCTCACTAGATGATACCCAACCCTCGCCTCAATATGATTATAATGGCAAAGAAGAGTAATTGAGTATTTAAATTTACCTCTCATTATTGAAATTTATGAAATTATGAGAAAAAAGCATTTTCTGAGAAAAAAAACTCTTAAAAAATTTCATTTATAAAAAAATTAGATGGTATACGTGGGATTCAAACCCCAGCAATAGAATACCGAAATATCATACTGCTTTGAGACTAACGCGCTAACCACTACGCTACATGACTCATGATGATTATGAGCATTTAAATCATGTTAATGATATGACACTTGACTTAATGGACTTGAAGTATTTCTCGGAAAGATGCAAATGTTTTGTCATAAAAGTGTACTTTTAAGGTATAGTGAATCTTCGCTCCATTTTTTGTAAACCAAAAAATATTTATTTTAATATCGCAAACTTTTAGGATTATCTTTAAAAAAAAAATGGAGCGAGACACACTCATATTGAAAAATTTTGTTAAAGTATGAAAGAATTATCGTTTTTGTTATTTTAAGTCTGTGTGTTCATGCTTTTTCATAGGCAAATATGTTCAGTCTTTGTGAGATTTTTGTAAATTATAGAGATTTTGCATTAAGTATACTTTAATATTAGATGAAATATGAAATAAAATTTGGATATAGTTGAGATTAAATTTTTCACTTCTTATCTATTGCGCTATAGGCATTCTGCCCGCCTTATCCCCCATCTTCTTTATGTTTTCCCCTTTGAGACCCGAAACAAGTGTCAAATCAAGAAGTGTTGGTTGTGTTAGAATGTGCACATGTGGAATCATGCTGAATTGAGGCGTTATTTTTTCATTGCCTCGATGAAATATTTCTTCATTGATAACACACATAAAAGCCATAAATAAAAGTTTTAAAAATTCGCTTTATACTTTGGCTTAATGGTTGATATTAGCTTTTTTTCTCCTCATATCTTTATAAATTAATGATTTTATTAAAAAAAGTATGTTAAAAATTCCTCAACTATTAGTTGTGTTTTCTTGTGTCAAACTGAACATCACCCTAGCAGTTATCCATAAAGTTGTTTGCATGAACGTTCATAACACATGGAATCAAAACGTATTGAGTTTCCAGATATGAAAAACAGTTCCTAAAATAACTTGACTGTACAAGTTTTTAAGAAAAATGGCTTTAGTAAATATTATTACAGTAATGTTGCAAATGACACGTCAACAATTTTATGATACGATATATTCTGGTGAGCTTGAGATAAAAGATACCACAGAAACTGAAACATCTGTTTCATATTTGGATATTTTACTTGAAAACGACGTTAATGGTAATCTAACAACCAAGCTCTACGATAAACGTGATGACTTTAACTTTTCTTTCGTCAAAGCCCCTTATTTAGGCAAAAATATACCTTAATTACATGTACATGCATACGAAGTTTATGTATTTCAGTTGATTCGATACGCAAGATTATGTTCTATGTATGAACAATTTATAAAACGAGGTAAATTATTGACAAACAAGTTGATGAAACAAGAAAATCAGGAGTCTCGTTTAAAGTCATCGTAGGCTCTATGACCTTGTCAGCAAATACAATTTATCATTGAGACAAATGAATTTCATACTAAGTATTAGTCCATTACTTATACATGTATATACTGAATTGACGACGGATTTTTCTGTATTTCTCGTTGATGATAAGAAGCACAAGGAGGGTGTGACCGGTCAGCAGGGGATGCTCACTCCTCCAAGGCACCTGATCCCACCTCTGATGTGTTGGAGGTCCGTATTTGCTCTGCTCCTGTTTTGTATTGTTTTATGCACTTTTGATATTAATTACTGTTCATTATCTCTATAATAATTCATTGATAGAACATCGGCATTATCACATAACATGGCAAAGATCCATGACAAAGATCCTCGATAGCAGCATTTTGCACGTCCTTTTTGACAACATTCTAAATTAGGCATTTTGATACTTGTGGCACTTGTGTTTGATTCAATAATTCTATGATGATACATGTACTACCTTATTTTCATCTCTGCAAGCTGTTGGACCATGCAACGGCAACGTGTTGACTCAGGACCTTTGGCCTGCCAGGATGCGCTATCTTATGTACACGAATTTATTAACTTCTTTTGATCACATTGAAAATTAAATAAAGATTAAAACATGTAATTTTTTTTCCTATGGGCTTGTTGTGAAAATTCTTTAAAATGCTAAAATGAAATATTTTTGCAGCCGATTTTAAACTTTTGAATTTTGGATCACTCTATAAGGGGTCATTTTTCAACGGGGGTCCCTTTCTTATAGGACTCATATATTAAAACAGGACAAAAACAATATGCGCCCCGAAAAAATTCGGGCGCATAAAAATGACCCTGGGGCTCCTTTTCTGCAAAAAACGACCTTTTTCTACGGGTGGGGGGTAATTTTTTGCCGTTGAAAAATGACCCCCGGTCATTATTCGATAGGGGTCATTATTCATCTTTACACTAGCAAAAAGTTATCATTCTTAACATCGAACCCTAGCGCAATTGAAAGCCCACTAAAAGGGTAACATGGTCCTATATATAATTAAAAAGACATTCAAAGCAAGAAAGATACTTTGTTCAAGCTAGGTATACATATTTGGTTATTGAAAGGAGAAAACATCTAAGCTTTTTCATTTTAAATGTCTTGGATACTTTTATTTGGTACTTATCAAATTAACTAGCATATTGAAATGATTTTATTTCTTGAAAAAAAGATTTTTAACAATGGTATAAGACGCCTTTTTACGTCTATTTAATGCATGAATAAAAACAAGAAAGGAAAGAAAACAATTAATATCAACTTTTTTCCGAAACATTGATATGAAATTGATTCACAGATAAATGTCTTTTTGAAAGAATTGAGCAATATGAGTTTGTTTTTTTTTTTAACGAAGAACCTATTTGAATTTATACATTGTTGATTTTTTTTTCTATGTCAAATATTAAGCAGAAGGTATTATAATAACGGAGATTTTTTTTAATAAGTACATCAAACTCATTATACTACAAATTTATATCATGATATTAGTCAGACTTAAACGAAAAGGTACATTAAAATCAACTGAAAACGTTCCTAATCTCTAATATGTCTTTAGTTCAAGCACAGGGGCTTGTCACGAAATATTTATCTTCTTTTAATAAATCAGATCCAGATCCAAATGTAGAAAAAGAGGTTAGTTATTTGACTAACGGTACGCGTCGCTAAGAATTTGACCGAATATTAAAATTGAATCTATACACAACTCAATCCTACTTGGTTGGCAACGAAAGTTGCTCAGAAACTAGACAGAGTCCGATCAAAAATTTTGGTAGCTAATTTCCTATTTTTAAATTCCTCCCTTGTGTATTTTTATAGTAGGGGTAACTATATTAAAAGAAGATAAATATTTCGTGACAAGCCCCTGTGGTTCAAGCAGATTTTTCACAAATAAACTTAAATTGATCACTGCACTTAGCATCATTCCATTTCCCATTACTTCGCATGTTCATTCCATTGGCCGGTTGTTTCGGTGCCCAGTTTGTATAAACAAGTGGTGCGTTTGATTGTGCCCATATAAAGACCCCTTCTGTTGTGATGTCATTTCCGCCCGACCATGTTGAACAGAACTGAACGCTGGCACAAACATCTATAAAGGTAGATGTACATGAATTAAAAGCATAACTGGAAGAAGCCTGCAAATTTGGGTCATCCTGCTGCCATAGCATCAGAACAAGGAAGAAAATGGGAAACTACCTTCATTTTCTGATTATTTGTAATCACACGTCAAATATTAGAAAGTCTATCTTTGGTTGTTATTTCGGAAATTAACGTCGCAATTGTTTGAAGAAAAAAAAATCATAGCTGCACATGCGAAGTTAATTCCTGTACATGTACATGTATTAACAAAGAAAGACATTTTATTGTTTATATTTTATATCTGTATGAAAAAACATTCTTGAAAGTAAAATGAAATATGTTTAACATTGTTTTATAGACGAATACATAACTGATGGAATAGCCATTGTCCAAGATTGATTGATTGATTGTAAATTGTTTAACGTCCTTCTTGAAAAATTTTTACTCATGTGGAGACGCCACCACTTGCCGATGGAGAGCTGCAAATTTTGTCCTACTTGAATACTCGGCACTCAGGGCCATTGAGCAGGGAGAGATCTTTTTCGTGCCAGCACATACTGCGACACTGAATCTTGGTTTAAACGGTCTCATCCGAAGGACCGGTCTCCACGTCGCACAGTGGGATTCGAACCCGCGACGTAAGGATTGACTCCTTACTTCGCGATTCTAGAGCAGACGCTCTAACTACTGCGCCACAGGGGGCGACCATTGTTCAAGAAAGCTATGCACGAAGCTTGCTTAGTTTCTTTAATACATTTATATTAAGCAAGCAAAACCAAAGCTTAAAGGGGTCGACAGTAGTTTCCATTGCGCAATAATTTGCGCATTATAGTAAAATGAAGCGAATTTACCGTTTCAAAGCAACTTTTTTTCGCTTGATTATTAAAATTAGACAAAGTTAAGAAATTAAAGTGAAAAAATGTAAGAACAATTTTATAGAATTGATTTTTAGCCGATTTTGCTAATGATAGGTAGGTTGATGTCGTTACAGAGTGTTTTTGGCGTTATGATGAACTGATCTGAAGTTCTTAAAGAAAGGGGTAATAAAATTTTTATTAAAGACAAAGTAATAAACATACGATGTTGAAATTTAAAACATAGAAATTTGAGAATATTTACATTTTTTAATTATATTTCCATGTGAATCTTTTGTGTCCGTCTTATTTTGTAGTACTCTATAACAACAGGAAAATTAATTTTTGTTATTTTGAGGTGCCCCCTGTCACGACAGCCGTCGTGCTCTGTCCAGTCAGATATAACAAGATTTTTTTTTCTATTTACAATTTTTTTTATCTATAAATAAAATCAATATAAACAATATTTACAACATATTTTTACAGCTATTATTTACAATACACAGAAATTAAAGTCTCTATTAATCCTCAATATCGTTGACTCTAAACCACGTCTATCCAGACACGACCCGTTTCACGACGGACTCCCGCCAACTGGCTCCCAGTGGGTATCCCGGTCTGGTAAGTTCATTGCCAACACACACATGGATAGATTAACATTGGATAACATCAGGAACCCCTTTGGAGAAATGGTTACCGTTGAAAGAAAAAATTTAGCCACTCATCTTGGACTGTATGTAAACCATTTAAAAGCTATGAAAACGTGGACCCTGGTTACCTGGTCAGCTATGCAGCGATTTAAATACCCCAAAATACAATAGGTCGTAACTGATCAATACCTGCAAAACTTAACTGAGGTTCAATGAGGTAACAAAAATATAGAGGTCCAGTAAAGGGTAAATAAAATAAAAACCATAAACATAATGTAAATGCAATTAAAATTAAATATTGATTGTGACAATATCTCCCCAACATAAGAAAGTTCAACGAACTTTTGAAAAAAAACACAATCAATTATAGCATAAAATCGACTATATATAATTATATACATATCTAAATTCTGCTAAGACAATCAGCTCCTACATTTTCAGAACCCTTGATGGAAATAATGCGAAACCTGTAGGGTTGCAGAAGTAATGCCCAGCGCATCAGACGTGCATTAGACACCTTGGCTTTGGTAAGATATACTAGTGGTTGATGATCTGTCTCTAGTAGGAATTCCTTACCATACAAATACCTGCGGAACTTTTGAACTGCCCAGATTATCGCATAGCACTCTTTCTCGATTGTAGAGTAATTTACCTGACATTTGGAAAGTTTCTTGCTAGCGTATGCGACAGGTTTCTTCACACCATCTTCGTACTGCATCAAAACTGCCCCAACACCACGATCTGACGCATCTGTCTGTAAAACAAAGCTTTCATTTAAATCAGGTAGTTTGAGAACTGGTGTTACCGTTAAAGCGTTCTTGAGAGTGATGAATGCATTTTCTTGTGGCTCTTTCCAAATCACTTTGTTCGGCTGGCCTTTCTTGGTAAGATCTGATAAAGGCGAAGCAATAGCTGAAAAATTCGGAATGAATTTGCGATAAAATCCTACCAGACCTAAAAATGATCGCACTTGCTTCTTCGTTGAAGGTTGGGTAAAGTTGTGAATGGCGGAAACTTTGTCAGGAAGAGGTCTAAGTTCTTCATTTCCTGCAATATGTCCGAGACACTCAAGACTCCGGTAACCAATAAAACACTTACTTGGTTTCACAGTCAAATTCACAGCACGAAGTCTTTGCAAAAGATCCCGAATTACATCAACATGTTCCTGAAATGTTCGAGTGTACACAATCACATCGTCTATAAAGTTATCCACACACTGCATTCCGTCTAAGAGCTTACGCATCAGGCGACTGAAACTTGCGGAAGCGTTTATCAAGCCAAAGGGCATCACCCTGAATTGAAACAAACCAAGTGGCGTTTGGAAAGCGGTGATCTCCTTCGCTGCATCATCCAAAGGTAACTGCCAGTATCCCTTAGATAGATCAAATTTGGACACATATTTACAGCCAGATAATTGTACATAAATATCATCAGCATTTGGAATGGTTTCTGCATCGAAAACAGTTACTTTATTAATTGCACGAAAATCGATACAAAACCTGTTCGAACCGTCCTTCTTTTTCACGATGACTATCGGGGAACTGTATGGACTCGTTGAAGGCTCGATCACATCGGCTTCCACCATCTTCCTTACCTCGTCACAAACAACGTCTTTTGAAGTAAACGGCAAAGGATAAGGTTTGGTGCGAATAGGCTGGTCACTAGTCAACTTGATATGATGAACTCCGAGATTCGTCAAACCAGGTACATCTGATAAAACATCTGAAAAATCTTCTAGTAATGTCTTGACTTCTGCTTTTTCATTCTCAGTTAGCTCATCACTTACTTTCACATCTGCCGGTCCCTCTTTTTTCGTTTCTCCTAGAGAATCACACAACAGCTCATCGTCGCTCTCTCCATCATCATCTAGATCGAGTACTGCGGCGCCTACAACACCTAGAACACCTGTCTCATCATTACTCTCGTTTGCTCTGTCTATGTACAACTTCAACATATTTGCATGAAATGTTTTGATTTTTCCATTCACGTTAATTCTGTAATCAACTTTTCCTAGTCTCTCTATAATTTCATATGGACCTTTCCATTGCATTTGTAATTTGTTACTGGCAGTTGGTAAAAGAATAAGAACTTTCTCACCTTTTGACATTTGTCTGTTCCGTGCTCCCTTGTTATAATACTTCCGGTATTTCTCTGACGACTTCTGTAGATTCTCTCTCGCTAATCTGCACGTAGCTTCTAGTCGTTCCTTCAAATCAACAACATACTGGTATGTAGTTCTAACCTCTGAATCTGCTACTTCTTTAGTCCACAACTCCCTCAAAATCTTCATAGGTCCTCTAACTTCGTGTCCGTAAACCAGTTCAAACGGTGAGAATCCTAAACTCTCCTGTGGTGCATCACGGTAAGCAAACAAGGAGGCTGATAGATACTTATCCCAATCAGTAGGACGTTCCGCACATAACCGTCGGAGTATCTGTTTCAATGTACCGTTGAACCGCTCGACCAGTCCATTGCACATGGGGTGGTACGGTGTCGTTGTTAACTGTCGTATAGAAAGTAAACGACTAACCTCTGTCATCAGCTCGGATGTAAATTATGACCCCATATCCGTGAGCATTTCCTTCGGTACTCCTACTCTACAAAATACATCTACCAGAGCCTCAGCGACTCGTTCAGTGTCAATTCCTTTTAAAGCAATTGCCTCTGGGTAACGGGTAGCAAAGTCAACAATAGTCAAAATGTAACGATTACCCTTACTGGTTGCTGGCTGGATAGGTCCTACCAAATCGACAGCTACACGTCTGAACGGTACCTCAATGATAGGCATATCTCCGAGTGGTACTTTTGTAGTCCTGCCTCTCGGAGTGGTACGTTGACAGATGTCGCATGATCTGCAGAATCGACGTACGTCCGCTTGAACTCCCGGCCAATAAAATTCTGCAAGGACTTTGCTGGCTGTCCTGGAAGTACCTAGGTGACCTGTCATAATAGATTCATGAGCAAGCGAAAGAACTTTAGTCCTATATTTCTTTGGAACAACTAGCTGTGTAAAACGTTTACCATTCTGATGTTTATCTGACTGGAAGACACGATAAATGATACCTTTTTTACTAATGTAAGATACCTTGGAGTCGTCGTCTTGTCCTACCAAAGAGCGTATCTTGGCTAACGTCTCGTCTTTCTCCTGTGCTGCCTTGATGTCGTCAGGACATATCTCAGCGTCAATAATATCTGGAACATGAAGAGATTTAGTCTTCTTACCTTCCTTTTGAGCTTGTTGCCTTGTCACTACTGCATGCGCTTGATAAGGTGTCCAGTTTCTATCCGGATCCTTTGGATCTCTTGCGTTGGGGATGTTCCCTATGATCAAGGAATACAATGGATTTTCTAAACACCAAGCGTCTATTTCACCCACAAAGTAAGGAGTGTCTATTTTCACTCGCGCAACAGGTGCCTGAATCCTAGATCCATCCGCCAGAACACAAATTCGATGATTTCCCGTAAGCTGAACATCATCTATCAAATCCCTACGAACTACAACACCGTTACAACCAGTGTCTCTAAGCACTGTCACAAAATGTTCATTTAACTTGCCCTTACAGGTAGGCATATCTTCAAGAGATGCACTAACGTTACACGATGAAGTGTTTACAAGGTCCATTGAATTTGACGCCATCGAAAATGTTGATGTGTTTGTAAAGGAAGTAAAAGTTCCACACTTGCCTTGTAATTCTGAGTTCTTTGTCGTAGATTCCTTTTCTGTACGATCGACGACAACATTCAATGAGTTCCGGTTCTTCTGAGTCTGGTGGCACTGAGATGCTATGTGGCCCAGTCTGTCACACTTGAAGCAACGAACTTCTTTCTTCATTGGAGTTTTCATGGGTTGAAACTTCAATCCTGGCTTCTGATCTCGCTGTTCCTGTTCTCTCGATGCCTGACTTTTTCCTGGAGAGTTCTCTTTCTTGCTAAAATGAACTAATGTCTGAATGTTAACATGCCTTGCCTCTCTAAACTGATCTGCTAAATCACACATTTCTCTGATGTTTTTCGGTATGCGTTCTTTCAAAAACAATGTCAATTCTTTGTTACACATGAACAGAAACTGATCTCTGAGTATCATATCGTAGAGGCCATCAAAAGTCTTGTTAACTCGACCAAGTTCAATCCACCTATCAAGATAACTACCGAGACGAACAACAAACTGTGAAAAAGTTTCCCCTACCTCAGGTCTGCTCTTACGGAACTTTTGACGAAATCCATCCTCCGTCTTTTCAAACCTTTTTAGTAACGCCGTCTTCAAAGCATCATAGTCCAACGCTTTCTCCTGCGGCAACAGTGCATACACATCCAGTGCACGACCTCTGAGTAGTGCGCTCAAGTTAACAGCCCAACTGTCAAACTTCCATTTCTGTGCTGCAGCGTACCTTTCAAAACGTCTCAAATAAGAATCAATATCATCCTTAACTTCATCGAATACAGGCATTTTTGGAAACTTTGCATTACTAGGATTTTCTGATTTCGTTTCTGACTCCTTTACAGCTAACTTTTGCTCTAAGGTTTGAATAGTTTGCATGAATTTACTCTCAATCTCTTCCATACCTTTCTTTTCCTGTAGTTTGAGTTTCTCAATTTCAAGTGCTTCTCTACTGAGATGATACTCCCTGTCCTGCTTCTCTTTCTCCCTTTCCGCCGCTCGTAGCTCACGCTGATGTGCCTGTTGTTGCTGTATAAACTGCTGCAAGTCCGCACCAGTCAAGTTCAGACTCTGTCCATATTCTGCAAGTTCTTTCAATGTCGACATTGTAATAGAACTTAAAACTAACTGACTAAATATGAAAAATATTACTACAATCCAGTAGAACAACATTGATTTTCAAAACAAAAATGAAATGTGAAAAATCTTTCTCAAAAATGTGTATCTCAACAGATAAATTAAGTATACAAACTCAATTCATACGAAACAAAGCAACGGTAACCTAGCTTTCTCCATTTGGGGCTCTATCAATAAACCAAGTACTCACACCTGAGACTGTCAAAAATCTACAAACTCTTTGACTGCAAAATACAACAAAAATGATTAAAGAAAAAAAAAACATAAGTGTAACATACAAAAATACTCCTGACTGAACAGACTAATCATCCCACTTCTGACACCAATTTGTCACGACAGCCGTCGTGCTCTGTCCAGTCAGATATAACAAGATTTTTTTTCTATTTACAATTTTTTTTATCTATAAATAAAATCAATAAAAACAATATTTACAACATATTTTTACAGCTATTATTTACAATACACAGAAATTAAAGTCTCTATTAATCCTCAATATCGTTGACTCTAAACCACGTCTATCCAGACACGACCCGTTTCACGACGGACTCCCGCCAACTGGCTCCCAGTGGGTATCCCGGTCTGGTAAGTTCATTGCCAACACACACATGGATAGATTAACATTGGATAACATCAGGAACCCCTTTGGAGAAATGGTTACCGTTGAAAGAAAAAATTTAGCCACTCATCTTGGACTGTATGTAAACCATTTAAAAGCTATGAAAACGTGGACCCTGGTTACCTGGTCAGCTATGCAGCGATTTAAATACCCCAAAATACAATAGGTCGTAACTGACCAATACCTGCAAAACTTAACTGAGGTTCAATAAGGTAACAAAAATATAGAGGTCCAGTAAAGGGTAAATAAAATAAAAACCATAAACATAATGTAAATGCAATTAAAATTAAATATTGATTGTGACACCCCCTCTGTTAACAAGACGGTAGGCTTTTGTGTTTCTTACATATATTGTATAATATAGTATTATTCATCAATTATAATAGTTTGAACAAGAAGTATATTGTAGTATTTGTGCAATTTGCTTTAAAGTGCTAAAAATTGGCATTTTCGTATATAATCCTATAGTAAAATTAATGTATCTGTATTTTGAGACGGTCCCTCAAAAATACCTAGACGGGAGAATTTCCCCAAACTTGGCATGTACACTGATGTCAATGTAAGTTATAAATGGTAAAAAAAAATGGAGAGTTTCGCTATTGTACTTTTCACACATTAAAACCCCAGTCGCCCCTTAAATAACTGCCTGTGATTTCCCCCGTATTGAATAATAATATTCAAGATTTCAAAGTGATGTATATTTACCGGCTTTCAAAAATTTATTTGTGATCCAGTCCGACTCTTCTTGACTGTCCAATTCCACCAAGTAAGAGGCAAATTCTTCACACCAAGTCTAAAAATTAGGGAATTACTATCTTCTAATTTGGTATTTGCGACCGTTATTGCTGATTTAACGGTCGCAAACTGAGTTTTACCGGCGACGCGTAAGCGGAGCCGGTAAAACGGATGTTTGCGACCGTTAAATCAGCATTAACGGTCGCAAATACCAAATTAAAAGTTTAGTTATTCCCATTCTAATGCAATCCATGCATTTTGTTTGTTGTTTACGTCTTATTTTGTTGAATTTTGTTACATGAAATACGTCACGGAGCATTGTATTTTTGCGTCGCTCTATTATGACGTCACAATGAAAAAGCTTTCACGCTCGTTAATGCTCGTTTTACTGCTTCAAACATCAGTGCATTAGCCAATCAAAGAGTGTTTTACAAAACAATTGCATTAGAATACGACTTTATATTAATAAAACGAAAAACCAGTTGACTAAGGGCGATTTTAGATTTAAGGTTTTTATTTATCACATCTTCTCGGTCGAGAAAGATTCTGCCTTTTTGGCATATATTTGTGATAAAAATAGAACGGACAAAATTTAGTAAATGCCGCGAACGAGAATCGAACCCAGGAGGCCAAGGTTCGATTCTCGTTCGCGGCGCCACGTCAAACCTAACACGTAAACATAGGTAGTGAAACATCCTTCTCCAAACGCTCTATATTAGAGGTGGTGAAAGTAACGCATCTTTTGGATATGACCTTAAAAACGTAGGTCTCGTCTCTCGGTAGACGTAACTTTCACTGCTCAAAGGCCCTGAGTGCCGAGTATAAGTCTAAATTTGAAGCCCTTCACCGGCAGGTGACGTCTCAATATTATTGAATAATTTTCGAATGGGATGTTCAACAAAATAGGTGAAATCTAGCAGTCAGAAATTATTTGGGTTACCTTTGCAGGATACCAATTCAATATTGTTTCGTTGTACATGTAGCAGTGGCCTTCATTAAAAGTCCAACCTTGGTGGCAATCTAAAACAAAAAAGGAAAACATTGTTTTATCACATGCGAAATTGACTGTATAACAGAGTACTAAATAAATGTCGTGTTTCAAGAATAATGTGATAAAATGGGAGTAAGTACCTTGATTGCATACGAACCAATTTTAAGTATTACTAGAAAGATTTCACCGTAAAAATAAGAATCAAAACATAAAACTTTAACAAGTACATGTAATAAATCAGTAATAAGTTTATAAATTAAAAAAAATGAAAATCCTACAGATTAGCAGGAATATCTCTTGTTAAACCCAGTTTTTTTAAAGGACATTCGTAAAATTATTAAATCCCGGTACTTAATCAAAAACATAGGGCTCATTTGTTCTGTATTTGTGAGCAGTGGACAGGGAATGCTTATTTTTTTTCAAGGTACCTGATCCCATCTCTGGTGCATCCGGAAGTCCCTGCTTCGATTTTTATTTGTTAACTGATGAATGCGATTAATCACTATACATTCGTTTTCTTTCTTATTCTTATTTTTTATCCTAAAATGCATCCGAGTATGAATAACACTAACCGTTTTTGAAACTATAATAGTTCCACCCGGTGTGATTTGTCGACGTTTTTAGTCCATCAAGTGAACAGCGAAGAAATCTACATTCTGTGCTCCCTGAATTGAACAGAAATCCTTCACAAAACTTTCTTTTCATACATTCTATTGCACACTTGATTTGATCGGTGCTGAAAAGCACATCGATATATGCATCAGTATTTAAAGGCAATATTTTGTCGAAATTATAGTTGTATTCAAAAGTCCCTTTTTGAAATTCAAAATCTTGACATTTTACATAAATTGTAAATAAAAGAAAGGTAGTTGCCTTTTCAATGTACATCTGAAGCATAATGATCGAAATTCTTCAATGATTTAAAGTAAATTATTTGACGCTGTCCGCAAGTTAAAAAGAAAAGTCAATGATATATCATTCTGTGTGAGTCATAGATGTTAAGAACACAGCATATTGAGCATTTGATTATGAAAGGTTTAAGAATAAAACAGTAAAAAAAAAATATTGACTTTAATATTCCATTCAAATGCATGAAAAGAAATGCATACGTGTAAAATTTGTTCTAGATTTCTGCAAATACTTTTTAAACTAAAGCAAATAACTTATTAATATATATTTTTTTAATTAGTTTATTTTCAATACCTGCCTCCCGATCTACCAGCTCAAAGGAAAAAAAAATGATGGATTAGGTTTGAATTTTTTAAATGGTATTATTTAAACAGGGTAGGGCGGGGCCACAATATTAATGGCCGATCAAAGTTTTACATAGAAATACATGTTTATAGGAAAATTCTAGAAAGATTTCACCGTAAAAATAAGAATCAAAACATAAAACTTTAACAAGTACATGTAATAAATCAGTAATAAGTTTATAAATTAAAAAAAATGAAAATCCTACAGATTAGCAGGAATATCTCTTGTTAAACCCAGTTTTTTTTAAAGGACATTCGTAAAATTATTAAATCCCGGTACTTAATCAAAAACATAGGGCTCATTTGTTCTGTATTTGTGAGCAGTGGACAGGGAATGCTTATTTTTTTTCAAGGTACCTGATCCCATCTCTGGTGCATCCGGAAGTCCCTGCTTCGATTTTTATTTGTTAACTGATGAATGCGATTAATCACTATACATTCGTTTTCTTTCTTATTCTTATTTTTTATCCTAAAATGCATCCGAGTATGAATAACACTAACCGTTTTTGAAACTATAATAGTTCCACCCGGTGTGATTTGTCGACGTTTTTAGTCCATCAAGTGAACAGCGAAGAAATCTACATTCTGTGCTCCCTGAATTGAACAGAAATCCTTCACAAAACTTTCTTTTCATACATTCTATTGCACACTTGATTTGATCGGTGCTGAAAAGCACATCGATATATGCATCAGTATTTAAAGGCAATATTTTGTCGAAATTATAGTTGTATTCAAAAGTCCCTTTTTGAAATTCAAAATCTTGACATTTTACATAAATTGTAAATAAAAGAAAGGTAGTTGCCTTTTCAATGTACATCTGAAGCATAATGATCGAAATTCTTCAATGATTTAAAGTAAATTATTTGACGCTGTCCGCAAGTTAAAAAGAAAAGTCAATGATATATCATTCTGTGTGAGTCATAGATGTTAAGAACACAGCATATTGAGCATTTGATTATGAAAGGTTTAAGAATAAAACAGTAAAAAAAAAATATTGACTTTAATATTCCATTCAAATGCATGAAAAGAAATGCATACGTGTAAAATTTGTTCTAGATTTCTGCAAATACTTTTTAAACTAAAGCAAATAACTTATTAATATATATTTTTTTAATTAGTTTATTTTCAATACCTGCCTCCCGATCTACCAGCTCAAAGGAAAAAAAAATGATGGATTAGGTTTGAATTTTTTAAATGGTATTATTTAAACAGGGTAGGGCGGGGCCACAATATTAATGGCCGATCAAAGTTTTACATAGAAATACATGTTTATAGGAAAATTCTTTATAAATCTTCTTCTCAAGAATAGCAAAGCCATGTTTAGTCATATTTATATGGAAGTATCCTCAGGTAGTGTAGATTCAAGTTTGTTCACATCATGACCCCATGCAGAGGGTAGGGAGGGGCCACAATGGCCGATCAAAGTTTTATCTAGAAATATAGGAAAGATTCTTTAAAATCTTCTCAAGAATAGCAAAGCCATGCTTGATCAAATTCGACTAATTTTAAAGAACGTGAGTTGCAACTTTTCCTTCGCAATGTACTCGGCACTTTGAAGTGAAAGTAGCGGGTTCTTCGGATGACGCCTTAAGAACCGAGGCCCCGTGCGTTGCCATGATAAAGATCCCTCACGATTTAACTTGTGGCAAATATTTAAAGGCATGTTACGTTTTAAAGCCATATAATGTGACTACTCAGTATTCGGTTTATTATATTATATTGTTTTATCTTTGATATAAATCATTAAAAATCGTGAAGAACCTTGTAAAAGAATGCTTTGCTTTAACTCCCAAATTATTCTTTCATTGATTGAGGTACATTTAAAACATTAAAGCTTAAAATCAATTATCATTACTTATATTTAAAATATTTCAAACAAAAGACAGTTCACACCGATTTATTGGTGTTATATTGATGTAAACTAAACGCTGAGTCTATTATTTTTAACATAGTAGACTAGTATAGATACGTAGGACGTTTAAATCGTACATCATTTCGTGTTAGTTCCCTTGTCCCGGCTTGGCCGCAAATTAAACCTGGACGTCAAACAAGTAAATCGAGAGACGTATGCCAACACTTTACGGGCAGACGTTTTTTAAACGCTAAAATTATTACATCGTCTAAAGCCATGGTCCGGAGTCCGCTTATAGCTCGCTCCTACCCGCAGCTGCTTGACCACATAAAGTGTCGTTATCTTGAATATTTACGTCTCTCTATTCTGACGTCATATTCAATGACAAGTTTTGTTTCCATCGCATTTGAAATCAATATATACTATATACGTCAGCAGTATACAAGAGATATTTCGTACACTGCGATTAGGTATTGAAAGGTCGCATTAAAGTTCATCACCCGACTATGCTTTACTCGCATTGGTCAATATTTAAATGAGCTACGAAGAATTCTCTCCTCGTTCAACCACGGCCAGAATGGGAGAGGGTCGTACATTTTGGCCGTGGTTTGCGACGATGAAATTATTTTAAAAATAAAAAGGGGTTTTTGAAAACATAATTATATTTGCAAGAAAAACAGTTTACTGTAAATAAAAATTTTATTGTATGCTGTAAGACAATCAATGATAACTCTACCAAGAATCTTTGTCGAGTTGTCTTCCTAATCGTAATAACTGAAAAGAGGAAGGGAATGGATATTTTTCTCAATTGTTAGACACGACGACAAAAGTTTACGCAAAAGCTTATTTAGTTTTAATATTAACCGGAAGCCTTTTCAGCGTCCTATCCATTATAAGTACAAAGGTCTATTCTTTTGACAAATGTGTTTTACGAACTGCTTTTTCCCCCCATTTTAAGTTACCGACCTGTATTGAAATAAAAAAAACCTCTTAGGATTAGGTTTGGGTTGAAATTTTAAGTGATAATAAAGTTTCTTTTGTTCATTTAATAGTTCTGCTAGGGTATTTTTTAGAACAAAAAACAATTCCATACTTGAGAGAAAAATTCTATTAAAACATAATTTTTGTTAGAGATCGATTGTCTTGTGATTTTAAGCAAAGTCTGAGGAAATTTGAATACCAGCAATAAAAGATTCATAGGACCAATGACTGTTTTTGATATCTACATGCATGAAACAATGAATATCGATAATTATATACTGTACATAAAATCACTGACGATGTACAGATTTAAACGGATCATCAACGAGAGAAAGAAAACTAACCTGTACGCTTAAAATGTTCTACTGAAGTTTTTTTTTAATTGATCACTTTTTATAAATCAATGTTTTGTTTTACGCCAGACGTTTTGACTGAATTTCAAATTGGATCAGCTTGTTTGCATATTTACGAAACACCATTAACTAATCGAATATTGAATAGATGTTCCGTCCATAAATGAAAGCAAAAGCAGTCCGTAATGTATAGGATGTTGAATGGTATGATGGATGAAATAGCGACATGTCTAGGAATTGTGATATACCTAAATTTAGCATTTGCGCAAATTCCTACTCTTGCATTTTTTGAATCCAACTCCAATTTTGACAATATTTTACCATTGAAAAACGATACATACATTTACTACGTAAAAGCAATATATAAAAGTCAATGTGCAATGGTCTGTATATCTGAACAATTGTGCGAAGGATTTGTTTTCAACTCTGATACAAGAGAATGCAGGCTTCTTCGATGTTCTCTGCACGGTGTAGCAACCACTTCGTCTCATGCTGGTTGGAGATTGTTCAACGTTGTCAATGGTGAGTAAGCATTCTGATTAAATGCACTGTTAATAAACCATTCCCGATAGAAGTTAAACATAGCAAGACTAAATTCATATTTAAAAAATCATAAATTAATAGCGGTATGTTATACAAGAGGAAAATCGCCCGCGGTGGTTATAGAGCGTGTGCTCTATAATCGTTGAGTAAGGAGTTGATCCTTGCGTCAGGGGTTCGAATCCCTTTGTGGGATGTGGAGACTGGTCTTTCGGATGAGACTATATTATATATATATAATAAGACCCCATGTCGAAGTAATATTGATTAAATGATTAACTCCTTTTTGTATTCATTGAAATTGTTTTGGAGTGGATCCTCTTCGATTTGCTACAATACAAGTACCGTATACCGGGTTTTTTTTAGCGGGTGTAAAATTTGACGTTTTGACTGTTCAAAGGTATGCAAATAATTTTGGCGGACCTAGATCTTTACCTCCTTAATAGGAGAGTGCGCCTG